TTAAACCAAATCCAGGGATCTACTTTTCCAAGTACCACTCAGGCTACTAAAGAGTATTACTAGCAATATTTTTCAGAGTATCCAGTTCCCTTTAATAAGCTTTATCAATGTTCAATCAATGATTTCCTATACATATATTTTAAAAATCACTGCTAGCCTCACTTTAACCTCTAAGAAAAAATAAGTTTTATGAGTTTATTGTATACAGCATTATTCTTATAAAACTTATTCTTACTTTTCAGTTTGAAATTCATGCTTTTCAACTTGTAAGACATAGTCTGGACACCAGGCATTATACAAAATTACATAATCTTTAAAGCATGACAAAATAGAGAAGCAGAATGGTAGTTATTCATCCTACATCTTAGTTCTGAACATATTCTATGAGAACTAAGTTTAATAAAAATAGCTTTGCACCTAGGTCTCCTTGGAAATTACCACTAGTGTTTCTTCAAAACGGTCTGGCCAGAGATAGGCCAAGGATAATTTGGATGGGACATGTGAATTTCAGTAAACCAGAATCAGGGAGGGTGAAGTTCTGGGCTTAAAGACATATAAAATGTATAATGTTGTTACAAGTTTGGCAAACAAATATAGTATCAGCAGAATATACTTTTGCTTCTTTCTGAAAGCTAACTTTATATAGTTCCCTACAAAAAAGTTGTGAAACACAGCACAAAAACATGTAAATAGACAAGCATAGGGCTAAAAACACCTATAGTATAATGTAGAAAAATGAAAGAAATGCTTCTGCTGAAAGCAACAAAATTTTTAAAAAGATCACCTCTTACAGAAGCATGATTACATTTGCTTGAAATAAATATGACTTAAAATCTGAACCAACTAAGAAACTCTTCAAGAATGTAAACAGTTTAAAATTCAAAATTAACTCTGGGTGTATTTTTAGCTTTTTAATGAGTTCAGGAAAGAATGAATCAAGAATATGTTTATAACTCACATGGACATTACTCACCCACATTTGGAGGTTTCACATAATTTACAGGTAGTTCTGGAGGTCTGCCTCTATGCAGAGCTGCAAAAGCAGACCCATTCCATAGTGTACTCTTACAGTCTATTAAAAAAAAACACTGAAAGTTAGCCAAGGAAAAGAGCAGTGCTGTTTTGTTTTGTTTTGCTTTATGCTCCAGAGGCATGTCTATCTTCAATTTCATTTGTTAGAATATATTGTTACTTACTAAAGCCACAATAAAATAATGTTCATATATTAAACATCTAATAAAATAAATTACACTGGTAAACACTAACACCTTAACATATTATCAGGATATTTTATTTTTTTTCTTTTTTTTTTTTTTTTGTTTTTCATACGGGGAATCGAACTTAGGACCTTGCGCCTGCCAGGAAGGCACTTATGCCACTGAACTATATCTCCGGCAGGATATTTTATTTCTATGCTAGTCTCAAACTACAGTTTCTGTTATGCATATATTTGAATCTTAAGTAACTATGCCACCAATTAGCATTTTAAATTTACATTGGTCCTCTTGATTAGGTTTATACACACTTATAAAACTGTATCAGCAACAATACAACGACAGCATATTTTATAGTTTCCTTAAACTACAAAATGAGATGTTTAAAACCCAGCATCATTTATGCTACTTATCTTGTTGAATTAGGATGTATCACAATAGTAGATTAATAAAACAAAATTTAAAAATAAATTGGTTGCTATATCTGAAGTATTTAATGATTCCAAGAGGAATCCTTAATATTAATTTCTTATTTTTATATTCATAAAATACTACTATATAAGTTTTACTTATTAGGGTTCCATATAAAAATAGAAAAAAAAATGTAAAAAAAAAACTGAAAAAAAGTAGAGAAACTGTAACTGAATAATCATTGATGGGTTAATATTTTTGCTTAAATACCTTCTATTATAAAACCTCACACTTGGGGGTGATGGTACACACCTATAATTCTAGCTATTCTGGAGGCTAAGGCAAGAGAATTCCCAGTTCAAGGGCAGACTGGGTAACTTAGTGACACCTTGTCTCAAAATAAAGTAAAAATAAAAAGGGCTGGGAATTCTACTTCAGTTATAGGGTATATGCCTAGGCATGTGCAAAACCCTGAATTAAATTTCCAGTACCACCAAAAAGCTACACACACACATATATAATTTTCTTTTATCTGTTAAAACAAACAAGATGATTAGGATGACATCATAAGGTCTAATAAAGAATAGGAACATTGCCGGGCATGGTGGTGCACTCCTGTAATCCCAACACTAGGGAGGCTGAGGCAGGAGGATCGTTCTGAGTTCAAGACCAGCCTGGGCTACAAAGTAAGCTCAAGG